CACACCGAACACCGCGTATTGCCTTGATATATTTTGTGGTGCTTTGTTTGCTCTGTATTCATTATTTCTTCCCCCTCTTCTCTCCGGTAGACTACGAGACTGACGCTGCTGCTGACCAGTTCGACTACGGAGTTGACGACCCCTCTCTCTTGCCAGAGCAACCAGGCAAGCCCCCCCCTTGATCATCAGATATCGCCTACTCTTCTCTATACTGCTTGCATTAGAGTAGTGTAGCATGTTACTGCTTTCGTTAATCCTATTCTGATGCATAGCCTGACATTGTCGCTACATCTGTTGATACCTTACCTGCAATCCTAAATGCTTAGTATAGGATGCTAGTTTATCATCATTGGCCCTACATTCTTGTCAGTCTGCCTTGCTATACTATCGGGCCGTGATCACTTGGGAGGTGATCACGGGTATATACTATATATACATACATACTATACAGATGGTGACTAAAGTCGGGTCAGCTCATTGAGTACCCGCAAGTGATTCTGACAAGGGGGCTGAAAGGGCAGGTGGCTCCATCCCGGTAGAGGTGGGCCTGGGTTCCCGACGGCCCCCGACTGTTACTTTGTGGCGGAGCGGCAGGGCAGGTTGAGACCACCTAGGAGACAGGTGGGCCTGGCCCTGTTCGGCGTTCGCGGATACTTAACACGCTTAACGAGATCTTGGTATTTGATCTGAGTCGGCTACGAGCCTATACGCACTAACCATCTACGTGGGAGTAGTTATGGGTATCCCGACGTCGTGGTATCAGCCGAAGCACTTCGTGACGTCAGCGACTGAGCGGCGCGCGCCAGGTTGGACTGCGTTAACGCAACTTCCTTTGTAATGGAGGTTGCTAGGTCTGCTCACCGGCCGCGTACGCAACGTGCAGGTGTGCTCAGGGCGATGGGCCTAGACCCCTGCGCGCTTAGGTTTAGACCGGCGTGCTGGCCTCTCCGTTGAGCCTAGGTGGGGCTGCGACGTGTTGATCTTCCGAGGCCGGGCATGACCCAGGAAAGTGTGTCCGGCCAAATGGGATCGAGCGTGTTGGGTTATGTGGTGCACCCCTGCAGGGAAGTTAATCTATTCGAATAGCCGTGATCTTCGGTAACAGGACGACTTGGAGTTGTACCTTGACCTTATGACAACTAGAACCGGATACTTAATAAAACACACCCTTCCAAGTGCCAGATACAACCGGTGGTCGCTCTACCTCAGGGATATGAGGAGAGGATTGCCGGGTAGGATTATGCTATGCGATGCTACTAGAGATGCTACTTGGAGATGCTACTTGGAGGACTTCAATCTACTCTCTTCTACATGCTGCGAGACGGAGGCTGCCAGAAGCGTAGTCTTCGATAAGACTAGTTATCCCCCTCTTATTCTGGCATTCTGCAGTTCAGTCCACCGATATGGCCCTTTACACATATACCCATGCATATGTAGTGTAGTTCCTTGCTTGCGAGTACTTTGGATGAGTACTCACGGTTGCTTTCTCCCCCCTTTTTTCCCCTTTTCCTTCCTTTCTGGTTGTCGCAACCAGATGCTGGAGTCCAGGAGCCAGACGCCACCGTCGACGACGACCCCTACTACACTGGAGGTGCCTACTACTACGTGCTGCCCGCTGATGACGACCTGGAGTAGTTTAGGAGGATCCCAGGCAGGAGGCCTGCGCCTCTTTCGATCTGTATCCCTGTTTGTGCTAGCCTTCTTAAGGCAAACTTGTTTAACTTATGTCTGTACTCAGATATTGTTGCTTCCGCTGACTCGTCTATGATCGAGCACTTGTATTCGAGCCCTCGAGGCCCCTGGCTTGTATTATGATGCTTGTATGACTTATTTTATTTGTAGAGTTGTGTTGTGATATCTTCCCGTGAGTCCCTGATCTTGATCGTACACATTTGCGTGCATGATTAGTGTACGATTGAATCGGGGGCGTCACAAATGTTACGAGAATGAAGGGTTGTACCGGAAGCATTGGTAGACAGCCGCCAATGAGGAATTTCCCTTTATTATCATTCCTCTTACCCTGATATTTTTTTAACTTCTCTCATAACATCACACAGAATATACTCATCCCACTCGAACTCATGGACCACACTCATGTCTTGTAAGGTGTAGAGATATTCCAGAGGCACCATGCTTCCTGTCCCAGGAGCTAGGACCAATGCTAGGCATAGTAAAACACATGATCTCTCGATGGCCTCCTCGTCGTCGTCTCTACTTTTGATATAACAACTACTGTTGTGGCTATTGGAGCCCTTTCACCATCCAAATAAACGTCACCGAAATCTGCTTTGCCCCTCTTGCCGAATTCTACCGGTCTGCTACCAGATGGGACATTGAATATCTTCTTAATAATGTCTCTTGTAAAGTGGATCTTCTTGTGGTCATTTATCCTGCAGTACACAAAAATAAAAATCAGTAGATGTTGCAAAAAAAGAAAAGGATGTTATGCAACAGAGAGAAGAGAGGAAAAAATGACAAAAAGAAACATAAAACATACTTGAGCAGATGCTTCTTAGTGCCAATCCTCATAACTATGAAATTGAGAAGCCCTTCTGGAGGAGGAACCAAAGGAGAGATGTAAAGCAAATCCCCGAAGCTGGACTTGCTTATTACATCCCTCTTCTTCGCTTGGATGGCATTGGCTATGTCGCGCAACCGCTTTGCCGACCATTGAGTTTGGTAGATGGGCATGCCGCGAAACAAAATAATAATGAAAAAAGGATGCTATGAGCATGCATATCTAGTGATCTAAGAAATGAGAAGTATTGAAACTAGTGGACAATTGCATAGATATGCAAAATTCAGAAACAATATATAATTCAAGCAGTCCCAACTAAATTCAGAAACATAAAGATAACTTCCCTGTCCTTATGAGCTATAGGAAACGTAGTACAAAAATTAAAAAAACATAAAAGCTAATTCAAGCAAAGTCCAACTAATTTCAGAAGCATAAGCTAATTTTTTTCCTGTGCTATAAGCTACAGGAAATGCAGTACAAGATTCAGAACACTTAGCCAGTAGCAGAAAAATGAAACTCAAAAATGCTGCCTATGATTCTACATTGTAAAAAAAGCTGGATGAAACACATCTGCTGAACCTTGTTTACATCAAAAATGGTCTATGTCATTTCTGAAAATAATCTACGATGCTACAGGCAATCCACTACAAAAATTCAGGAATATGAAGGTACACTGGCAATTCACTACAAAATTTCAGAAAATAAACTATGAAGGTATAGGCAATCCACTACATAAATCAGAAATTAAGCTATGAGCTACACAAATTCAGAAAACATGCAGCACTGCAACACATGCGACCCCCTCTTCCTACTACGCCGGCGACCACCTCTTCCAACTACTCTGGCGACCACCTCTCCTACTACACTGGCGACCTCCTCTCCTAGTACACCGACGACCTCCTCTCCTACTACACCTTGCCACCCCTACCACAGCCCGGGAGCACCACCACCACCGTCGGGGAGCATAATGACAAACCAACGGCGGAGCACAATCGCCACCGCGACGGGCACCCCCACCAACCCCCTACCACCGCAGGGGAGCACCAACCAACACACCTAATCGATGTCGCCCTATAGAAATGGGGAGAGGAGGATCGAGCGGGGAAAGGATCTGTGGATGCGTACCTGCCTGAGTCGATGTCGGCCATCGCGGATCCAGTCGCCACGCGACTGGTCTGCCGCCGTCGCCCGCCCAGCCTCACGAGTCTCCGCCCGCTGCTGGATCTAGCCCCCCTCTTCGCTTTGAAACAACGGGCTAGTTGCAAACCCCGTTTCCAAAACAAAACGCTCAGGTACTCGATTGCAGAAAACGTGGGCGTGGAGAGGGTTGCTCTCGTCCGTCAGATCAACAGACGATCCGACGGACACGGAGCCGGCGGACACTCACGCAGGATCGGTCGGCTGAAGGGGAGCTTTTCCATTGAACTAATAATATTATTCAATATGCCAAATTACTGAAGTACATGCTAGTGATCTTCTTTAGGGTGTGTTTGGTTGCAGTCACTGCCCGGAATGTCATGGGTCGGACCCATTACCAGGCCTCATTCCAGCGTTTGGTAGAGCAACCGGAACAGAACCCACTCGTCCCCAATCAGCGAATATTCGACTAAGATGCGGAATGTGCTGAGACCTCCAAATCCACGGAATCACACGGAATGAGTCCTCTCCACTCCCGCAACCCTATCGGTGCTCCTCTCCTGGTGGGTTGCTCCACCTCGGATCCAGATCCTCTGACTTTCACAAGGGATGTAAGGTAAGCTACAGTACCCTGGCAACCTTCTTCATTTTTTGCTAAATCGTGATGTAACGCATGGTCTACAAACAGTAATCATCTACAGTAAGCCACATGCAGTACCAAGTCTACATTGATTCGTGAACAGTGCTGCCCTCCCTGACAGTTTTGTACACAGATTTTACTGTAGCTCTGTGACATCCCTCGTGCAAGTTAGAGGATCCGGTTCCCTCGACCTCCTCCTTCCTCCCACTCAGGTGCGCCGCCGGCCCTCTTCCTCCCTCCCTCTCTACTGCGCCGCCGGCCCTCTCCATAGCTTCAGCTCGTGCGCGCCGCGGGTCCTCTCCCTCGCTCCATCTCCTGCACAGCTGTCCCTCTCCCTCGCTCCACATCTTGCGCCGCCGGACCTCTTCCTCGATCCATCTCCTGCGCCGCCGGTTTCCTTTCTTGCTGCCTCTCCTGCGCTGCCGGCGTGTCGGACGTTCAAAAATCTCGTCCCCCCTTTGGGTTAGCGTAGACAGGCAAGGGGGCGGCATTACCACCGGTGGAGATTGCACCCTAGGACCGACCCCAGGCTTTATGGACTAGCCAAGAACCCTAAACAAAAAAAATCCCCATCTTCTTCCCCACCAAATCTCCCAATCCCCTGCTCCTTCGAGAAAATCTGCCCGAGATTCCGCACGAGCACCGCCGGTTCCCTCTAGGAAGGGGAGGGATCCGACCCATCTCCGCGGCGGCGAATCGGGGAAGATGAATCCCCTGACGCAGGTGAAGCGGACGCAGGTGATAAACCAGAAGGAGGCGGCGTTGGGCCTCAGCGAGGACGCATCCTGGCACGCCAAGTTCAGGGGCTCCGCCTACGTCTTCGTCGGCGGCGTCCCCTTCGACCTCACGGAGGGCGACCTCCTCGCCGTCTTCGCGCAGTGAGTATTAGACCGCACCCCCGACCTAGCTTTTCCGCCCGTTTCCCCCTCCCGACGGATTTGGCAGTGAAGTATTTTGACCGGTTTCCGATCTCTTCTCTCAGGTACGGCGAGGTGGTCGACGTGAACCTCGTGCGCGACAAGGCCACCGGCAAGTCCAAGGGTTTCGCATTCGTCGCCTATGAGGACCAGAGGAGCACGGTTCTTGCCGTGGGTGAGTCCCCTTTCCCCTTTCCTACTAGGTCGCTTCTGTGTGTGATTCCAATTGATTTGCTGAAGTGATAACATTTTCGCTTCGTCTCGTGTGCTGTAGATAACTTGAATGGGGCTAAGGTTCTTGGGAGGATCATCAGGGTTGACCATGTGGAGAAGTACAAGAAGAAGGAGGAGGAGGACGAGGAGGAGCTGCAGAAGAAGAGGGAGGAGCGTGGCGTGTGCTATGCCTTCCAGAAAGGCGAGTGCAACCGCGGCGATGCGTGCAAATATTCCCATGATGAACAGGTATCTATCCTGCTTCTGCAGTTTACACACATCCCATTCACCATCGCGCTCGTAGTGATTTGGACTAGTAATGTGTTCTCACTATAGCATGAGCACGGAGGATATTGCCAAATCATTAGGTAGAAAAATAGCTTCTAGCCATTTTATTATTCGTTAGGAATGCAAACAAGCAATTAACTACCTGGCATGTAGCAATATTTCACTGCATTGGTCCAGGTTTTTTGATTATTCGTTAGGAATGCCTACAAGCAATTCACAACCTGCCTCATAGTAATTTGCACGAGTGAAGTTTTTTCACTACAGAATGAGGAAAGGATAACCAGATCAATTACTAGGTAGAAAATTAGTTCCTGGCATTTCACTCCAACTGGTAAGTGTGCACGTGCAACGCACATCTCTACCTATAGAACACATATTTCTAAAAAAAACCCTATAGAGAGTATTGCTTTTGAATGAGGAAAAATAAAAAAATGTAGTCCTTGATGATTCCTTCCTTGGTAAGGATAAGGACAAAAAAGTCTCAATCAATTAACATTAGCGAAACATAATACACAAAACCACTTTCCAAAAATCCTTGATAGAAATCGAATATGTACTCCTAATGCTAAGATCAAACTATTAGCACACTTGTGCAAAGATTGAATTTATACATGAACATAAAACCTTACATGTCGTAGATACTGTCTAAGACATCTTATGGCAGTCAATAAGCAGCTCGGTTTGTTGTGATATTTAGGGATGTCATGTGGAGTTCGAGCAGACCAATAACAAGTCACAATCGTACAACATATGTCACAAATCAAGGACGGTTCTATTTAATCTAGTGTATAACAAAAATGGAATCAAATAAATCATGAGTATTTCAAAATGTCTTTGTGAACTTGATAGGACTTATGATAAACATAAGCATTGTCCATGTGAACATGGCAGAGATACAAACTTGGAACGAAGAGAGAGAGAATAATATTTCAGAATGTCTTTATGAACTTGATAGGACTTCTAATACACATAAGCATTGTCAATGTGAACATGGCAGAGATACAAACTTGGGACGAAGATAGAGAGAATAGCGGTCTTTGGAAGAACTGAATCAGTCCACTCTTGGGTTTGGGATGCTTGTTATCTTCAGAAGTTTAGGTGTCCATGGAAGTCTCAGCGGGCACTGCTAGCGAGGGACAATTTTGCCCTGTTCTCAGTTTCTCACAGCTTCTTTTGGAGTTTAACTACGGTTCAGACGTACACTATATGTTACTCCCTCCATTCTCTAATACTCCCCCCGTTCCTAAATATTTGTCTTTCTAGAGATATCAACAAGTGACTACATACGAAGCAAAATGAGTGAATCTACACTCTAAAATATGTCACATCCGTATGTAGTCACTTGTTTAAATCTCTAGAAAGACAAATATTTAGGAACGGAGGGAGTATAAGATGTTTTGGATATTTCAATATGGACTACATACGGATTGAAATAAGTGAACAAACATACTAAAATGCGTCTATATACATCCGATTCAGAAAAAAAGTTAGAACATCTTATAATAGTGATCGGAGGGAGTACTATATAGTTGCATATGTCTTTAGCCCCCCAAAAAACAAGTCGTAGTAAAGAAGCATTACATTTGATAATGAAATGAAGAGGGGGAATTTAACACTGAAGATGTTTTGAACTATTTTCATGATGCAAAAAAAAAACATGGTTCGAATCACATAGCTGTCATGAGCAGCGTACTCCTAACTTCCTAAGGCAAAAATAACTCAACATGCAACAGTCATCAAGGACCTGCAGGAACAAATGTAGCAGGTATATATGTTGCCAACCTGCAGATTCCATACCCAACTATACAATAAAGATGCATACTTTCTTGATGCCCGAACAAACACAGTATCCATTATAAACTTAGACAACTCCTACGGCTCAGTGAAGGATTTAATAATGAAGCACTAAATATGCCAAAACAACCTTATTTTAGCACTTCCTGGAACACAACATATCGAACAAACATCGAATCGTTTAGCAGAAATCTTCATGTTAGCTATAGAGATCAAGCTAGCTAAGTCTTCAGCTCTAGCCTCCAAGGCTGCAGCCACCTATAGGTAGGCGTACCATTAAAGTAGAGTACATTTCTACATCCTTTAGCTGGACAAAATTAATTTGGGAATGAAGAAATTCATCTTTCAGAATATCAGCTCTTACAATAGCGCGGTTCAAGAATTAATAATAAGTGAGGTGATATACATTCAATTCCAAGATCCTTTAAACCTTGAGGATGTAAAACAATTTCATTTAGCTGAACTATTATTTTCCGGACATGGTTTCTATTCTAATTACTGTACCATTCGTAGATGTGACTGTAGCTAAAAACAGAACAGGGAACACAAATAACTTTTGCAACTATTATTTTTTGGACATGCTTTCCATTCTAATTATTGTACCATTCCTACATGTGACTATAGCTAAAAACAGAACAGAGAACACTAACTAATATTTTGTCCTATCACAACTATCACTAACTACTTGAAAACCTCATGGATACATAACCATTTTCCAATGTTCAAGAAAGCGGTAAGCGTAAGCGGAGCGGAAGGCCACAACTTAGAGCAATGGCCGCTTAAGCGCAGCTTAACCGGGATTAAGCCTTTTTTTAATTGGCCAGAATTTGGCTGTTTTTGAATAATATGCACAAGAAAACAGGAAATATAGCACATAGGTAACTGAAAATCTGAAATAGCATATAAGGTTGAGGTCCAGTGGTTCACACACCACAACAAATAGTCAAATAACATATAAGGATAAGGTTCAGTGGTTCACACAGCAAGCATAAATGCATAATATTGTCTTAGAGCATATAAGATAAATGGCAGCTGCAGGCAAGCAGCAGCAGCAGCAGCAGCCAAACAGCAGCCTCAGCCCAGCCCAAGCAGTAGTTCAGATCCAGTCTGGGGACAAGGAGGAAGAATGCATGGAGCTGAGTTGGATGCAGAACAGGAGCAGCTGGACTGGAGCACTCTTCTCCCGCCTCCCCTTCTAACTCAGTAAACCCTAGCCGAACAGGCCAGTATTGGGCCAGGCCTTTATACCCACCATTTATCTTAAGCGCGCTCAGCGACCGGTTAGCCAGCGCTCAGCGCTAAAGCGGCTGATAAATCCCGCTTTTTCTCGCTTAACACTAAAACTTCTGCCTAGGGCAGAAGCGAAGCGTTTAGCTGTCGCTTAGCGCTTAAGCGCGCTTAAGCGGCGCCTAAAAATGCTTTCTTGAACATTGCCCTTTTCCATCACCTACATATCTGTTACTTGATGTTTCTGTAACATGTTACATATATTTATTCTAGCACTACTACCACTGCATATTGGCAACACAACAATTATTTTGTGTTTATCTCTTCGTTCAGGTGTTATTCTTGCTCCCTCCAATCCAACTTCCTGATCTGCCAACCATCATCTCAATCATGATCGAACCACAAGAAAACATCCAACAAACCCTCACAGATATGTACACGGTCGGATGCAAATGCAACAACAAGTGTGTGTGCAAATGCAATAATCCAGAGAACAGGTTGCAGGTTCTCTGATTATGGAGAGCTCATAGATAAAGCAAATTGGCAGATTCTTAGATTATGCATAGCTCATATATTAAGCAAATCCGCAGGTTCTCATATTATGGCAACTGAAGAAACTCAGACGTTATACATAGTTCCCTGTACCTCTCCGATAAGAGAAAGTATTCTTCTATAGCTCACTTTTATCTGGCTATCTCTTGACAGCAAGATCTTGAACAGACTAAATCAACATTTCAGTAGCGTTAAATAAACATTGCAATAGAAATAAAAATAACTCAATTTCATTCCCTGTACATAGTTAGTTCTTCTGGGCATTGTATGATCTTGCGAGATTATTGAACAACATAGTTAGTTCACTAAATGCAGAGAATTTTAGGTCAATTTCATCGTCCTTGTTTGGTGACAATGTCCAGAAGGGAATAAGCCCACCGATTTCTAACTTTAAGAGGCGCTATCAGTGAAGCTACATATATAGAATAGTAAACTGTGGTCCAGAAATGAGATAACTCACAATTTAGCAAGTAGGAACTCGAGATTCAAACTTGGCACTGCAGAGGTGAAAACAAAGAAATAAAATGCTTAGACAAAATTGCAGTGTCACAAACAAACTATTCAAACTTGAAAATGGCGTGAGCATCCAATCCCAGTGACTATACGGAGAAAACATTAAATTATAACAGTCATGTGAAAGCACTAAAAGTGGCATACACAATGCAGAATACAGTAAGAACAACGATTGCTGATGGACTTGCTTCATGCTCAATATTTGATTGAAGTGAAAGGATCGATATTATATTACTGTTAATCTTTATAGCAAAATAATCTAAATGAAGTATAAACTGGAATTTCTGCTAACAAATCACAAAATGGGAAATATATAAAATGAGAATAATCTGTAAGATAATGAACTGGGAAAGAACGGAAAATAAGAAAGAACCATCAGATAGATTTGATGTTTGGCTAAAAATAAACTTAATGGGGGGGGGGTATGTACTTACAGAATGCGTATTTTTCAAGGATATGTAAACTATGTAACATCGCAGGCAACAAGCATGGGACCAAGGATCTGGTCGCAAAAGCTCGCCAAGGAGCGCGTCGGCATCGGTGTGTGGTGGCGGAGATGAGTTACCCGGTCCAAATCCAGTAGGGGGCCACCACCGGCATGGAGGGGAACAACCGGGGCGACGGCGCAGGGCGGCGAGGGGGCCAGCTCGATGGGCGTGCGCTCGTCCTCGTCGAAGTGGCGGCCGATGCGGGAGGGATTGGTGAGGAAGGAAGGAACAGCGGCAGCAGCCGCCGCTGGGTAGGAAGCGGCAGGAATGCGCGTGTGCGCGGCTGCAGTCGAAGAGGTGGAAGGGGCGGTCGGGTGGTCATGCAGAGCTGCGAAAACGAGAGCAGATCGTCAGCTACAGCAGCATGGGGCCAGGGGCGGAGGGGATGGAGCTGGACTCGGGGTCCTTCCAAGACGCCTTGTGCCGGGACTCCTCGCTGCGGATCCGTCCTTCTCGATCTGGGGCCAGAGAAAGAAGAGTTGGGGAAGCATGATTCGGGTGGAAACCGATCCACAAATCAGGGTGGGCCGCGAGGATCCAGGGATGCGGGGCGCTGGGAGGATCGGCAGATCACGGCGTCTGCTCGGCAGAACATTGGATCTGAGACGTTGATCTGGATGGCAGACCATTGACGTAATATGGGCAGTAGGATGTATTTAAGTTGATTTGATCGGAGGGTCCTGGTTATCCTGTGTACAGTTTGCTCTGTGACTTTAGGAAAATTTATGTTCGCTCTTTTAATAGCAGTGGAGATGGTCGGTGAAATAACGGTCTGGTATAATTTGCACCTACATTTTCTCAAGATAAAGATGTGCTGGAAACTTATACTTGCACAGTAAGGCCTTACGTTTGTTGTGGTCATCAATTCACTTCAGTCAAATGACCTTATTACCTTCCAAAACATATGTTGCGGAATTCTATGAAAGAATGGGGGTAACAAACAGTAGTCGTTGCAAATACATGCTCCATTTATGCTATTGTTGACTCGTTCTAGGTTTGGTTACATGCTATAGCTTATTTGCTTTGGGACAATTTTACTGTTATTTCTGCAACATTTATCTGCTTCTACAAATGCACAATCAAGCACTAATATTGGATTATATATGTGTTACTTTAATGCTACTTGGCTGGAAACATTTGCCCTTCGTACTAGGCCTTATAGTTTATCAGTAACCTTCTTAAATTCTTCCACTGAACCGTCATGATTGCCAACTAATTCTGGTGTTCATGGTTATATTTCAGAGAAATGCAAACACTGGTTGGGGTTCTAAGGAGGATGACCCAAAATGGGAGCATGACAGACACCGTGGTCCACAAAATAAGGGGGAATCCTGTGGTGTCTGCTATGCTTTCCAGAAAGGCGAATGCAGTCGGGGAGATACCTGCAGGTTTTCGCATGATGAGCAGGTAGCTGTCCAGGGACGTGGCGTCTGCTATGCTTTCCAGAAAGGCGAGTGCAGTCGCGGAGCTTCCTGCAGATTTTCACATGATGAGCAGGTAACTGTCCTGCTTGTGCATTTAGCCATTTAAGTACACAAGCAACAAACGAGTTATATTGCCAGTTTATAGTTATATTTAGCTTGTGTTAATTTCCATGAGAAGTTTTTTCGCGTATGAACAAGTTATATTGCCAGTTTATAGTTATTAATAGAAAATGAGTTATCGTTTTGCCATGACGATCCTTTAGAGTATTTTTCTACTGATATTTTCTCGAGGTGATATGCTGAAAACTTGTGCTTATCACAGTAAGGCCTTTACTGTCATGTTTTTACATGTACTTCACTTGGACGAGCCATTATCTGCAAAATATATTTCATTAACTCCGTAGCAGATATGTTGTTTCGGAGTAACATTCCCACATTGCCAGAGGTTTTAACATTTGTTGTTGGAAACACAAGCACCATTTTATTGCATTGCGCTAGATATGGCTGTATGCTAGAGATTGTTGTTTTGGACAGGATTTATGATATTTATACGGCATGTTGCATGCTTCTCTGAATGTAATAATAACTTACCAATTTATGGTTATCAGTGCGCATTTTCTATTGTTGCCAGGCTGGAAATATGGTCCTGTATACTTGTCATATAGTTCATCAGTAATGTTGTTCAGTCGTTCCAGTAAAAAGCCATTGTTTGGCAACTAATTCTGATCGTGAATTATATTTTCAGAGAAATGCAAACACTGATCGAGGTTCTAGGAAGGACAGCAATGCAAGGCGGCAGCATGACCATGAGCCACCAAAGAGCCACAAAAATTTCCCTGACAGGACTAAAGAAGAGGCAAGATCAGGGGATAGGGATGGTCAATCCTCAAGATCAGAGTTGTACAGGGACCGAGATTCTAGGACAATATATGGCGATAGAGACACAAAAGATAGGGACGGGAACATGCACGAGAAATCCCCTGCGAGATACAGAGGCGACAGGCAGAGAGGCGATGACAGGGGAAGAGAAGATAGATCATCAGACACAAAAGATAGGGACAGGAACGGACACGAGAAATCCCCTGAGAGATCAAGAGGCGACAGGCAGAGAGGTGATGACAGGGGAAGAGAAGATAAATCAGACATAAAAGATAGAGACAGGAACGGGTACGAGAAATCCCCCGAGAGACCAAGAGGCGATAGGCAGAGGGGCGATGACAGGCGAAGAGAAGATAGATCAGAGAGCAAGCGGTCTAGGCACGACAGAGATTCTGGTGTCCGTTACGAGAGAAGAGGCGACAAAGAGGAAGAATGGTACAGGAAATCGCAGAGATAAAACTTGGGTTTTCAGGGCACGCGCTGCCGTTGCTATTCTAATCTGGTTGATGTTTGTACTTGTACAAGGTGAACAATTATGTTCAGTCCTTTGGTGTTTGCTTGTTCTTTTCATTTACGAGGTTTCTGAACATACTCCCTCTGTAAACTAATATAAGAGCGTTTAGATCACTACTTTAGTATTCTAAACGCTCTTATATTAGTTTACGGAGGGAGTACTAGCCAATGGATGATTTTGCAGGGTTTCAACTCAATCCATTGGTTTCCACAGCAGTGTTCATTATTGTTATTTACACTTATCTGGTGAATCTTGTACCACTATGGAAAGTTTTATCGGTTGTAGCACTACTAGCACCCCCGTCCTGTAATTTTAACATAAAACTGGCACGATTAGAGCACTGTATAAATTTAATCATTACTCAACAAGTGTTCAGTATAAACAAAGTATGAAAAAATAATTATAAAAAGACAGAAAAACAAAGGTGAAAGGTGACAACTTCCTTTAATTGCAAACCGTCAAGGATCGGTGGATCAACCACTCCGGAATGAACACCCCGAATAGAAAAGCCATGGCCTCCCTCATAATACTTGTTTCCTGGATGGTTTGGAATGAGCAAAATGCTCGGGTCTTTCGCCACAAAAGCGTGCTGCCTACAATCATGCTCAACGTGATTGTCGAGGAGATGAAACTTTAGATAACCGCGGGCGCAAAGAAACTAGGGGTTTTGATGTTGGGAGAGTAATCTCGTGGGTGTGTGTGGGTCATGATTTTTTGTCGAAAGAGACCCTCTGCCCACTGAAATTGCCAAAAGAGACCCCCTCCGAATGAAATTGACAAAAAAGGACACCCTCGGCCGTGGCGGCAGGCGACACGTGGCCCCTGCCGTCACACCTGGAGGCGGCGGGCCTTGCCGCCATGCCAGGAGGCGGCCGCCGGGGTAAAACGTCTCTCGCACAGTGCCTCACGCCGGGACGGAATGGGCCGGGCCAGGTGGGCCCTACCACCACTAGATGAGGCGGCTAGCATTGCTGCTGCCGCTACCACACCGACAGCTCCTGCTGCGCGCGGGCCCAGTCGGGGAGCCATGCCGCCACTGCGTGAGGCGGCCTCGCTGTTGCTGGTGCTGCATGCCCGACATCCTTTGCTGTGGCAGACGGCGATAATTACCAGGCGTGGACGATGCTGATTTTCACGGGCGGGAATCTGTGCCTTTTATTTCTTTATTTGCGATGATTCGCTACTGCCCGGGAGTTGGCTTTTGCCACTGCTTTGTATGCACTTGCACTGATTCCGCTGCGGTGCTGCCTAGGGACTCAACTGACTTTTGCTTGAGCGGACGCGACGGCATCAGTCACTCAACGCTGCTTTTGCTTCAGTCTATTGCTGCAGCCTGGGCGACAGCACTCAGGCATGCACTGGTTACACTATTTTGGATCACGCGTATTTCCCACCTAGAATTTTGTCGGTATGAGTTTGCCTTGCTCAGATCAAAGCATTGGGACGAAAAAATATAGTTTTGGAATAAAAAGTGGCATTTTCTTTCCCGCCATAAATTATTTCCGTCATTTTCTTTCCCGACAATTTTTCCTTCTCTCCCCACCCGAAAACACTTTAATAATACAAACTAATTATCGAACGTCGTGCAACAACTACAACATGAAATTAAGATAGAACATAATGCCCTACAATAAGACAACACAAACTAATAATGCAAGTACATCTGAATTAAACGGTAGAACTGTACTTGAAAACTAAAAATACAGCTTAAAAACTACATGAAGGCATCATCGTCATCCTTCGTCGATGCAGAACTCTTGCCCTTCGAGGATGCAAAACTCTTACCCTTGGACAATGCAGAACTCTTGCCCTTCGAGGATGCAGAACTCTTACCCTTGGACGATGCAAAACTCTTGCCTTTGGACGATGCAGAACCCGGAAGCGGCGGCATGAAGATATCATCTTCCTCCTCGCCGTCGTCAGTCCATAAAAAACTATGTTTTGCTGCAAACTTCAGCTCTGGTTCACTCTTATGCTCTATCTTCTTCCATCTTCCATGCAACCTGAGAAGTTCTTTTCGTATCTCCTCAAAGGTCCTGGAAGGCCACCCACACCTTGATAACGCATGACTTAGCTCATTCATGAGAGTGTCATTACTGATGAGTTCATCCCATGAAACTATTGTATTGTCTATCTTGAAATTGGCGGCTAAACGCAGAAGACATCGGGACATACTAGGGTGAAAACTACGATCAAAAGGATAACCGAACATCTTGAGGAGACTAGGAGACTACATTGAAGTCTGTATCCACCTTAGTGTGTAGGTTTTTTTATAGGTTCAGAAGAAAAGAATAGGCGGGAACTCAGAAGCGGGAAAGTATGTCGGGAGATATAGGCGGGAAACGGCGGTGCGAGTGGAACACAGAAGCGGAAAAGTATGGCGGGAGATATAGGCGGGAAAGGGCGGTGCGAGGTGTACACGGGAACTCAGAAGCGGGAAAGTATGGCAGTAGATATAGGCGGGAAACGATGGTGCGAGGTATACGCGGGAACACAGAAGCAGGAAAGTATGGCGGGAGATATGATGTCTACTATGCAACTTTATTCGTGTAGACTCGTGTTGGGCCTCCAAGCGCATAGTTTTGTAGGACAGTAGCAATTTTCCCTCAAGTGGATGACCTAAGATTTATCAATCCGTGGGAGGCGTAGGATGAAGATAGTCTCTCTCAAGCAACCCTGCAATCAAATACAAGAAATCTCTTGTTGGGGAACATAGTAATAATTTAAAAAATTTCCTACGTGTCACCAAGATCAAACTAGGAGATGCTAGCAACGAGAGAGAGGGAGTGCATCTTCATACCCTTGAAGATCGCCAAGCGGAAGCGTTGCAAGGAACGCGGTTGATGGAGTCGTACTCGTGGCGATTCAAATCGTGGAAGATCCGATCTAGCGACGAACGGACGACGCCTCCGCGTTCAACACACATACAGCCCGGGGACGTCTCCTCCTTCTTGATCTAGCAAGGCGAGAGGAGAAGTTGAGGGAGAACTCCGGCGTGG